CTTATCTATGAATCTCGACTTGGGGACCAGGAGTTACAACGCGCTTCCCAAGAAAACGACCTCGGGTGATCGTGCAGGAAGACCTTGGTTGCTCGAGATAGGCTGATAAGGCATCAAAAAGAGCCAGTCAACATCTTGGAATCTTACGGAGGGTTTTGACAATTTTGAGCCATCAATCTTTCCGCAAATGCTGAACGCATACGTTAGGCCTCACTTGGAATATGCGATCCAGGCCTGGCGTTCCTGGCGCAAGCGCGACGTCGATGCACTTGTAGCTCCACAACGTAGAGCGCCCAAACTCGTCAGAGGATTCTTTCATCTACTAACGCAGACTGCAGTCCCTGAGATTGTACAGTAGTGAATATCGACGTCAGCGAGGAGACCTAACCCTGGTTTATTTAGTATTGACGAACCCAACTCACCCACGTCGCAATCTGTTGCAGCTGAGCCAAAATACCAACCTGAGAGGCCATCAACTCAAAGTGGCTACGCACTACAGTCGACTTGATTGTCAACGAAACGTTTTCTCCCTCTGTGTGTCCCGTGCCTGGAATACCCTTCCGAATCACGTTATCCTTTCCCCTACATTTACGCTTATCAAAAAATATGTATATTCAACATTATACCAATTACAATATAATTGGCTGCGTGCCACAACACGTAAGAAGAAAAAGATAGCATGAAAGAGAAGATAAATGTTAGGGGAGAATGGTCTCACAGTAGGTGCGCCATTGCGTACGGCCCTTGGTCATATCCTCCAGCGTTTGCAACCATATATGTTTGGGGTCGTTTGGTCCCCAGCACGGGCGTGGGAAAGGTCCAACAACAGCCAGCTTCAAGGTTTGCGCCTTAACACATTGGATCCAAATTTTACATTGCCCTCCTTTTCGTCGCTTCCAAGCCACACCTGTGCTCGCGAATATGGCTCGTCGTGGTAGCCGCTGCGTAGGCATGCGAAGCAGATGGCCAAGCTAACGGAGCCTCCGCAGTGAGATGATGCTATCAATCGATCGGCGAGGTTTGTTTGATCTGAAGACTCGGCGACGGATTTCGTCATTACTGATGTAATGCTACCATCGAACACCAGCCATGCTTCGCAGGCAGCGGTGATCAAAGACAGATAGCCGCTGAATACCGCTTTGAGAACGGGCCAAGTCTCACAGCCGTACAGCAGAATCGCTCGTACCATAGCATTGTAGACTCGTCCCTTGAGAGCGATGCTGAGGTCACGACGAAGCCACATGTGACGAAGGTTAGGGAATGTGACTCTAGACTTGGAGGCACGCAGAGAGATCTCATCTGTCAAACCGCCACTACTAAGACAAGCCCAAGATAAATGAATTTGTCGACCACTTCCAACGGATGCCCCGAAAGGGTGAGAGAAGGACATGCGCTTGGCCAGTCCTGTAATAGGACCTTACATTTGGAAGGCGCAAAGCTCAACCCAAATTGCGCGGCGGAGATCTCCAGTCTGAACAGAACGTGCTGGGCGACTTTAAAGGACTCGCAAATCACAGCGACGTTATCGACATACTCTAAGTCCCGAAGGCCATCACCATGGAGCAGTTAAACACCGCAGGACTCAGGGTTATCCAGGGCAGTATCCAGGATTTCGTCCAGTGCAAAGTTGAACAAGAATGGAGAGGCTGGGCAACCCTGTGTAGCACCGCTGATGACACTGAAAGGGGGCGAAATGTCTCCGTATGCTCGCACGCGGCCCGAAGTTTGGTGGTAAATAGCACGGAGAATGTTGATGTACTTGTCTGGTACTTCCCTCTTCAGTAAGTAATCCCAAAGAGCCACTCTGTCACCAGAGTCAAAAGCGGCTCAAATGTCCAAGAATATGACTATGGTTGGTCGACTGAACGTATGGCGATGTTCAAGTATCTAACGGATCGTAAAGATGTGAGCGACGCAACCGCGACCCGGGTGAAATCCAGCTTGTTGTTCACGCAGGTGCTGTTCCCGTACATAACTGAGCCTCCATAAGAGTAGGGCAGCGAGCAGTTCGGATGCGAAACAAATGCGACTGATGGTTGGAGCAAATGGTCCGGTCTCCATTTTTGTAAACAGGTTCAACATCCGCTAAATTCCAGTCGGATGGAATGGTTTCAGTAGTCCAAATCTGTTGGAATAGAGATATCAGTTCGCGAGTGAGAGCTGGACCTCCATATTTGAACAGGGCAGAAGGAAGTTCATCTGGGCCAGGTGACTAGTGGCGCTTTAGCAGACGAAACTCATTGGAAACTCAGCCTCTGTCGGTGGAAAAACATCCACGCACCAGGGAGCACTGTGAACCCCGGAAAATAGACGCGGTTGCGCTGCTGACCAGTTGAATTGATATTCAAAATGCTCTGCCCATCGTACCAGACGACGTTGAGGACCGGGAATTCGTTCACCGTCATTTTCACGCCAAACCTCACTCACTGTTGGCCTTCTGCCTCCCGTGGAGCGAATAAGTTGGAAGAGTTTGCGGGAGTTTCCTGATGAGGCTGCCCGCTTCATCTCGACCATGTGCTGTGTCTACCAAACCTCGCGATCCTTCCTGAGGAGCTGTCTGAGCTCAGCACCTGTGGTTCTGCGTAGTGCGTTGTACTCAACTCCGGCGAGAATTGTTCGACGACTTTCCATTAATTGGATAGACTGTGCAGAGATCCAATGATTAACAGCCCGTCTAATGAAGCCACAGACCAGGGTAAGGGAGTTTCGTAAGGCGCTCTGGATCTGTACCAGTGTGTGTCAACATCAGAGGATAGAGAAAGTTGGTTGGAGGCTAATGTGTTCTGAAATACGCCGAGAACATTTGGGACGGCGAGCTTGTCTGTGTCGAACCGTTTCCAACGACGCTGTTGGGTGCCTCCAAAACGCAGAACGAACTTAGCACACACGAGCGCATGCTCCGAAGTCAGGTAAGTGCTCCATATTGACTTGATGAAACATTTTCAAACTTACATTACTTGGTATAGTCCGTTCCACTTGGAGAAGGACAAAACGCAAATCAAAGCATGTGCTTAACGGCCCTCCCCGCAACATGGCGGTGAGGATACATGCAGAAGTGACCATGTGATTATCTTGGATATATCTAAACTGGATTGACATACCACATCTGTCAAATAAAGAAACAAACGAGTGAGCGTTTTCTTTTCCTTCCTTATTTCTCATGCACTTACTGAACTATAACAGTTCTCTATGCTATTTTGTGTGTGCACGTCTCATTCTCCCTTCAAACTATCGTTATGCAGTAGTGCATTTAAGTCGGTGGACGCTTCAAATAACCATTTAGTTATTCGATGATTCTACAAATTTTAATTTTTCTCCAACCATCCTACTGGACTTGTCAAGCACATGCTGTTTTACCCGTGATAAATCATTGTTCATTGTTCATCATGAGCATAAGGCTATATTTCTTGAACAGTCCTCTGGATCAATTCCCCGTGATCCTTGGGACAGTAAGTGACGAACAAGAGGAAAGTTTTCATCAAAATATGGTGATAATAGACGAACGTTATCAGGAACGATTGAAGAAACACATGAGGTCTAACTATCGTTGCAGTATCGAACGTCACTGCCCTAAGATAACAGTTTAACCTAAAAGATATAGACGCAAATTCTTGCCTGATTAAGCCCTGTCATGCATCTAACGTTGTGTTTATATCGTGCCTAATCAAAATGTTTTGTTGAGGATATATGTTTACATCAATTTATATAGTTAAGGTACATCGGGTCATAGAGCGTCATTGTGAAGATTTTCGTCTGTTGCAAAAAGCTTTATAATCAATTTTCCAAAAAGCTGAGGTTTAGAGACAAAAACCAATGTCAGGTTTGCTTTTGGCATTGTCGAATTACATAAGAACGGCTGTTAGATTCTTTGCTTCATGCCTCGGTTGGAGCTTCACGGCTCCCTGGTTGGGGTCCAAAAGACAGTGAACACGTTTGGCTGGATACACTTGCTGACATGGCAAGGAGCCGACCTCAGTGGTGTTCCTGCTGTGAGTTTCTTTGTCCCTCCCCATCCCTTTTAGTTTCCCCTCCATCTAGGATCTCATTTCCTATTGTAAAACATAATAATAAAATATTTTTTTCTTTTTTGCCTAGTAGCTGGCTGGAAGCTTACCGGAACGATGCCTATCCGTTGCTGGTAGCTCAGCTGGCATGCAACTGTTGTAACTATTTTTCCTTTGTATATTGTATTATATGTATGTGTGTATGTATTTCTTTCATGTATTGCGGCACAATAGTGGAGGTGTTTTCCCATCTCTAGCGGATGTGTATAATGAATGAATGAATGACGTAATGTGATCTATCGAAAAGTAGCCAAAAGGTGTGCAAAGTGACATTTATGGTCTATTTTCAAAGATCTGTAGCTTACCGAGAAAAACAAACGTCAAACTTGAATTCAGCATGCTGTACTTATGTAAGAAGCACTCTTCGTTTGCTTGCAACAAAATTGCTGTTGCACGGGGTTGTCTACCGCTACATCTGCTACTGCAGAGCAAGGCCGATCGGACGCAGGGCTATACACTTAGAAAATAGAATCAAGGAACATTTACCGCATTCGCTCATTAACCAGCGGTGCAGAGCTAGTCTGAGTGCAATAACGATCCACCTGACTTGCACTGGGCATCTAATTGACAAAGGTAATGCCATATAAGTCGTGCATGGAGTGACGTCACGACTAAACCACCGGTCCGGGGCACCGCTGGATCCGAAATTATACAGTCAGAAGAAGCCACTTTTCTTAATGCTACAATCTTGATCATCAGCCAACCGAGACGAATCGCTCGCTCAACGCACCATGTGCCCTCAGTCGCTTGAACAGCTGATGTGGGTTACGATGAACGTTCAGCTGGTTCCAATTAGTAGCTAATCTCTGCCCTCTGGAGTGAAATTTCCTCTACGGAACGTAGATTTCTGTAGAAAGTCTGTCGATGAACAGTTGTTCGCTTTGAGTACACTGTCTAGGTTTCGCTTGGGATAGATATTCAAATTTCCTAATCAATGAACCACTTGCGTGAATTGGCCTCCAGAGTATGTACATGTTCTACGCTCCCCCACTGGGCTCAAATGCAACCGCAACGCAAACAGACTCTCGCAATATTTGTTTTCCTTTGGAACTGCGAGTGGATCTCTTCGATGAGTGTCGAGCCCAGAAATATGTTCACGTCGTCGCTCGCTGGTTGGCCGGAGTTGCTGCCACTACGATGTTGCCTGCCGTTGCACTCGGAGTGCTCACAAATACGGTGCTGTTATGTTGCTTGTTGTGTAAAATACATCGACCACACGGTCTGGAGGTTTTCGGCTGTTTTATGGCCTTTATAGATGGCGGCTTCCTAATGTGGACCGGAGCATACTTCTCCTTACTCTTGTTTGGGCCTCCTTGGTGGGGTGATCGCTTCGAATCGCCAATCACTGGCAGCCACGTGATGTGCAAGTCATGTATGTTTATCACGGATTTCCTCTTAAGTGCCAGACTGAACCTGCCTATGTGTGCGGTGCTGCACGAGTTGAGGTGTGTGGACAGCGAACCAAATCGCAAGTATCCTAAATTGTATGCGTTCGCTAAGTGCGCTTTCGCATTGGGATTAAGTGTGATAATCGCAGGACCGGGAGGAATTATATATGGTGTGTGGGAACAGTCTAACATTTACATATGCCACATGGATCCACAATGGGGCTTGGTATATCACAAATTCTATCGCCTTCATTCCCTTCTGTTTAGCTGTGGTTTCATTCAAACTCTATGTTCTCTGGCGCTATTACACATGCTATGGTACCGCATGAAATATGTTCGTCATACGAAGAAATTGCTGCGCACCGTTCCAGCCGGCGTTGATCCGATCAGTCTGATCATATTTGGTCTGGATTACAAGGTGTCTGATTCATTAAGAAACTATCGCATTCTCTTCTCTCAGACTATCATCGTCGTCGGGTGTCGGATTCTACTGTGTGTCACTCGAATAGTGCTTAGCTTTTTTACTCCCCTAGAAGCAGATGCTAGTCGCATAGACAGCGCAGCTATGGAAGTCATCTGGAATTCTAGTCAGTTTTTCGAAATTGTAACTGCTTGTTTTCCATTTGTTATGTGGTACACCAACTTGCCTGAAATGCAGTGGAGACAGCTCAAATGTTGTAAGCCGTATAGGGGGCCGCGCAGTGTAAGAGAAGTCAGGGGCACGGACTACTCCCAGTTTTCTCTTTTCACGACTGAAGACGCAGCCACATACGAGGCGACATGTATCAAGGTGATGCAAACGTTGAAACGTCATGAAAATGAGCTAATCAAAGTGCACTCTCAATGATATTCTTGGTTAGAAAGGCACATTTTGCTGAAACGTGTTCCTCAGCCTCCTTGAATGCCATATACTTGGAAGGGAATAAGTGTGACCAAGGCGAATATGGAACTATCTTACCGCATGTAGCGCCCAAATAATCAAGAAATGAAGAATAAAACACGCTTAACCGAAATGCCTTCAGTTCAAGTCCCGTTCTCCGGACAGGGCTCCTAAACATAGTTTACTTGAACTATTCCGTTGCTGTCAAACACATAGTATTGGAACACGGTCGACCATGTGTTCATGAAACTGTTCCAATGTCAATGCGACAGCATTTATCCAAGGGTCTAGCAACTGCAATATTCCATTAAAAATGATATTTTTGACGTCGGACGAAGACGGCGAAACCAGCGGAGACCTGCGGAGACATGGCTCAGTGAGTGCACTTGATCGGCTGCGCAGTTGCATTTGAGAACCGAGCAAATCGAACTCAGCTTTTGAGAATGTTGTGCTAGTTCAATCTGGGTTGTTCTTTATCGAAAGGGCCAAACTCTGAGGGCGCCTCGGATAGTTGTTCCACACCGAAAGGACCTGCCGCACAGTCACTGGTGAAAGAATGCGTATTGCATGATCTTCATTAAAAGATATGTCCAGTTCAAAGTAAGCAAGCAGGCAGATTCATCGAGGTGGCGAGCCTATTCCATCCTCGGTAAAGTTGCTAACGCATTGACATCACCGTTGTGTACGAAAAGTCAAATGCATGAACAGAAGTAAGAAGAACGTACCGGTAAGCAAACTACTGTGATCTGAGAAGTGTCTACCTACGTGAGTACATTAGGGTGTCGCAAGGAGAAGGATGAACCAATAGGGAAGCAGAGAAATACGCACTTATTTGTGTAAATCTGAGGTTGTGTATACGTGTCTGTCTAGAGTAGCCGGCAAGCTTGCTGACCGAATACACAACACGTCTCCGCTTAATCATGGAATGCATCTAAACCATAATGATTCAGTGGTTTTGGTTCTCAGTCATTCCAGCGGAGCTGCATGGTTTCCGTAGTTTCGTCAGTGAAGTTTGGTGGCACATTCTCCGTTCCTCTGCTACTTGTTAATAACCTCAGTGTGTTAACTGTGCGATCATTTCCCAGCCGGTAAGTGCCTGGCTCACATGCACTCGTTCTTAGTATCGGATCTGATAACATGAGCCGTCATTTTGATACAGCGTTTACCTTCACGCGCACGAATGTACGGGGCTGGAGCATAGTAGTAAGCTCCCAGTAAATGGTCTGATATCGATGGCGACGATCTAACTCTTCGATTATTAGTTGCAGAAATCGGAAGTGCGGCATTCCACTTTGTCCGAAGCGCACGCTCAAGCAGGAGTTCAGCTGGCGTTTTGTCTGTAACTAGGTGATGTGCGGTTCGGTAAATAAATTGTGCTTGTGGAACTGCATCCTCCTAACCTGTACCAGATAAGCGAATAGTTTGGATACTCTTTTCAAGCATCGATTAAACCGCTCTACTATGCCGTTTGCCGCTGGATTATACGGAGTTGTACGTGAGTGCCGGATGGCGTGAATTTGCAGAAACGAAAGAAACGCGTGGCTTGTAAACCGCGGGCCGTTGTCCGTCACTATCTCCTCTGGTGATCCGAAAGTGGAAAACATGTACTTCAGCCATCGAATAATGCTGGCAATAGTCACCTCTCTAAATACAAATGTACTTCGGCCATTTACTGTAAAAGCAAGTTGTCACCAAACAGTTCCTTCGATGCTGAGGCGCTGAGCTAAATGGACCCATGATGTCAAGAGCTATCTTGGCCCACGGTTGCATAGGATAGTCAATGGGTTGTATAGGGGAGGAAACCGGCCTTGAACTCTTGTTTGCCCTTTGACGTGAAGAGCAGTCATGAACAACTTTTTCTATTTCGCGTGACATTCTGAGCCACCAGAAACATGTGTCAACTTTGCGTTTGGTACGAACGATACCAGAGTGGCTTTCGTAAGCATATAGCATGATCTTTGCATCAAGCTCCGAGGAGTCAAATTTATCGCCGCGCATTAAGCATCCATCCATAAATTAAGTTCGTGGCACAACACGTAGTATGGACAAAACGCTCCTGTGATCTTGTTATTTTGTGGACAGATGTTTAGCAGAAACGCCTGGGCGCGGCACTGTCCTCTTCCAGAGTCGCATTTCGGAGTTCTTCCTTGGTCAGGGCTGGGATTGGTGCATTACTCATGGAAGATACGAATAACCTTTCATTATCATCATCATTATTTTCAGTTTCAGTGGCAGTCGACAGCCCATCCGTTACCAGATTTCCAGGTCCGGGTCGGAATTTAATTCGAAAATTGTGTTAACAAGCGTGCGTACCGGCGATGTATTCGTAGGGTCCTGATGCCATTTGTTCCTCGAGCAAGTAAGCTACTTAGCGCTGCGTGATCTGTACGAAGAGTGAAGGGTCTTCCGAAAAAGAACAAATTCCACTTCTCACAGGCCCAAACGCAGGCAAGGGCTTCTTTTTCCCAGGCAGAGTAAGAAGGCTCTGCCGCCGACAATTTTCTGGAATGGTATGCAATAACTCTTTCATGCCCATTTTGAATTTGGGATAGTATATGACCCAACCCAATGTTTGATGCAGCAGTAGAGACAATCGTTGGGCACGTCTAGTCGAAAATCGCCATGACTGGTGCGGAAGCAATGCGGCGTCTTATCTCATCAAATACCTTTTGTTGGGGGTGACGCCAAACAAATACGTATTTCCCCTTCTCAGTTCACGCAGTGACTCAGCAATGTCCGTGAAATCCTGTATGTGACGTAGGTTGTAAGAACACACCTAAAAATTCTTTATTTCAGTGGAACTCTGTGGAGGAGGAGCCTCGGTGATGGCACGCGCGTTGTCAAAATTCGGCTTCATACCGTCATTTGTTATAATGTGGCCCAGAAACTCGATCTCATTAGCATTAAATTTGCACTTCTCGAGGTTTAATCGGAGGTTAACCTCGTGTAGTCGACATAACACAACACGCAGTCGTGAATTATGTTCTTCTGGAGTTCTACCGAATACACAGATGTCGTCCATGTATACTATTTGACCAGGTATATAGGCAAATGAGTGAACTATAAACTTTTGCCAAGCTGCTGGGGCTGAACTCAACCCCATTAGCAAGACTTTGTGCTGAAACAGTCGGTCCATAGCAAGACTTGCTGTCAGCGGCCTTGACTCCTGAATGAGAGGCATGTGAAGGAAAGCCTTCGTAATGTCCAATTTTGGAAAAACCTGGCACTGGCTGTTTTGACTAATAGTTCATCTGCGGTTGGAAGCATAAACTTTTCCACCAAGATTTGATGATTTAGGGCCTACAAGTCATTGCATATGCTCACTGTACCCTACTTCTTGAGGAATGTAACCATAGGGTGGACCCAATCAGAACAGTTAATGGGTATAATGAGATCATCTGCAATTATTTGTCGTAATGCTGATGAAACAGCCTCTCATCTTGACGAAGGAATTGGACGTGGCTGAGCAATAGCTCCCGGTGTAGCATCCTGCTTCAGGCATATGCGGTGAACGGAGGAGGGAGCGCGCCCTATAGTTTGTTCAAACAGTTTCGGGTACTGTATCTGCAGGTCTGATAGGTTAATTGCCATGATACGCATATGAGATAGAGACGGCGTGACTCCAAGTTCAACCACAGCGTTGCGGCCGAGTAAGGGACGGTTATTTCCGAAGGAGATGTACACAATATCTGATGATTTCACGGCCCCAAGTTGCAAAATAATCATCACAAATCCTCGTATTGTTACCGGGGTCACTGTATAACTGTCAAATCGAGAGGCTGAAGGATGTATAGGCATGCCATGTAAGTGAATGTCATTAAAACTACTCAGTAGCATAGTGATAGGAGAGGCTGCATCAAGTTCCATGTCGACAGGTGTGGTTCTATCGAGTGCAACAACTGTAACCGTACGAATGTCAGGCATAGGGAGTTTAGGCTCTGGGAAATTGAATAGATAGTTAAACGCAATACTTCTGTTATCAATGCAAATTGCATTTGCCGCTGACTGTAACTGTTGAATAGAAAAGGAAACTGTAGGATGCAACTAAAAATGCGTACTGAACGACAACGACGGGCAAAATGTCCACGCTTACTGCACTATTTGCAATCCATTTCTAAGGAAGCGCACTTGGTAAAATTGGCTTTATGTTGTGGGCTACCGCAGCGGAAATATTTTTGTGGGGATTGGATTTCGGTTGGCTAGCGTTTGACCTTGGCAACCTCCTGTATGTCTGCGTGGGTAGCGAAACGTTGCAACTGTTCGGCCGTACATGTTTTGTGGCGAGCTAATGCCATAGCCTTATCCCAAGTCAATTTGGATGCGTCTTCCGAAAGTAAGCATTCCGGAATTCGGTTATTGGTAATTCCATTAATCAACTGCTACACTAACATGATGTCCTCGATTTCATTTTTCTGTATGGTTGGATGGTCGAAGGGTCGTAGACCGCGAATGAGGCGATCAACAAAACTGTCTAGTGTTTCCGTTGGTTCCTGTGTAAGTCGGCGGAATTTTAGGCGAGCCATGAAAACATTTGTACGCTGGTCCCATGACTTTTGCATCACATCTAGTGTTTTCGTAAAGGTATCTTGAGAATGGAGCTCCAAAGCATCAAATTGACGTTGTCCCTCATCACCGAGTAGGTGCCTGAGAAGCTTCAGTTTCTGGCCTTCTCTGTAGTTAGAAGCCGCAGGCAGTAGATCAAGAGAGTTTGTAAACTATGTTTTCCACTGGCCCATGCACCTTCGGTAGGATGTAAGGGCGGATGAGACCAGTAAACCGTAGGAGGATGTAATTCCTTGGGGTAGGTTCATAAGCGGCTACACCAGTGCTGTGTACAGAAAGTCAAATGTACGAACCGCAGTAAGAAGGTCGCTCCGGTAAAAACTACTGTAATCTGAGAAGTGTCTGACTACGTGGGTATATTAAGGTGTCGCAAGGAGAAGGAAGGAACATTAAGGAAGCAGAGAAATATGCACTTATGTGTGCACGTGTCCGTCTAGACTAACTGGGAAGCATGCTGACCGCATACACAACAACCACCACCGTAGCTTACGTTATTTCTGCCAAACAGCGTGTCACCTACTGGATGCTTCAATGAATTCGATTTTAGTCCCGCCATAGCCGTTCACTTGGATGTGCAAGTCCTACTTGGGAGTAAGCAAACAACACATTATCCCCATAATTTTCTTCAGACCATCGAATACGTACACAAATGATAAAACCTACTCACAATGGACCTTCTACAATTTTTCGCATGACACACGCCAAGACACGAGTTGATTGCAGTGTGGCCTATCAGCTTATGTTATCAATTATAGACCAGTAAACCAGATGTCGGTAGTTCATTTCTACTTAATGCGGGACAGTTGGGGCGAGAAAAATGTACAGTGGAAGGTACGACACAAAGTAGGGTTTTCAGAATATTGTGGTTAGTACGCCGTAATTTCGGGGTATTAATTGCCGAGATATTTGTGAAGCTGTTCTCAGCATTCGTTCGGCCCCATCTATAACATTTCCGAGTCATGTTAGGACATAGAGGCAGCAACTTAAGCTATCCAGATATCAACTTCATCCGGTACGCTAACACGTTACTCCATCCGAGGAACTAAGTTGAGCCAAGCGACTGTAACATGCGCGCACCGTCGTGTGGGTGGTTCCCTAGCCATGCGCTGTCGGCCAATAACATGTCGAATGCATAGTAGACGTAGCAATGTGTACGCATGTATAGAGCACGTGGGTGTAGAGAAATCACTACAGCCCGGAGTTGCTCCTGTGCGACATGTCACATGGGCGGTGACGGGTTACATGACGGGGGAGGGGGGTAGTACGTTAATATCTGAGGTCACCCACGGCAGGCTAAGAGGAATCGGGGTCAGTGTATGGTAAGGAATTTGAGCGTGATTCACAACACCATTATAACAGAGCCTGTTATGGAATCGGGTCACTGGCTACTCGCATTCTGACACCGCCGACAATCCGTGTCACTAAGATAAACCCCAGGTGCTTGTCCGTACGATCTATCGCGTGCTGTGAACCCATGGCGTGCACCGGGCACTAGGCACAATACGGGGGCCGCATTGGAGCGCGTAGGCCACAGGTTACTTTGGT